ATGCTGACAACACCCCTTCCTGAGTGTAGTAATTTTGAATTTAGCTCATCGTTGAAAGGCTTACCCCATATAGACTGTCCTCCCTTTCCAGTGCCTGTGGGATCACCACCTTGAATCATGAAATTCCTACATGAGATATTTATAAGTCTTCTTAATCCATTTTTGGCAACAAAAAAAAGAAATGGAAATATACTCATCAGTGTATGTACCTAATGTTGCGATGGAAAGGAACACCATTGTAATAACCATTTTCACAAAGCGTGATAAAGTTTTCACATGACCTGGGAGTTATATCACAATGTAACTCTAAATTTAAGTCTCCATGGGTCGTATGCAACTGAAGGTATCCTTTTTTCTTTGGGTTCTTTTCAACTTTAACATATTCAAATTCATTTCTAGTAACTGGGTCATAAGCAGTAGATGTGAATGAACGTGAAGCAGCACCAGTAGTAAAACGGCTTTTGACCTGAAATATCCAACAACTCACGAGATGACAATATATATAATGTGACAGCAGCATCAAAACAAGAGAAAGCAGGTCACAAGATTACGTAGGATATATGGCCAAATTATTGCATAGAACATGGGAAAATGGAAATGGGCATACAAGTTTTGCGTTAACAGGTTTTCGTTCACCCGCCATGTGCAAAGCAATCCGAGCAGCTGTCTTATCAGTAGAAGCTGCTTTTGCTGCAGCTGCACTTCTTCCATGAACTGAAGCAGATGCAGCATCTACAATACTGAAAGCCTGAATGGAATTGGAATCTCCATTCGCACCCGAATTTGAGTCCTCTTTGATACGTGATCTTGAATCTAAAATAGCAGCAAGTGCAGCGGCTCTTTCTTTTCTTGCTTTTTCGCCACCTCCGCCATGCAGTGCAGCTATCTTCCCCTTTTCCGTCCCAAGCTCTCGCAGCATTTGTTTAACATCACCAGATAGATTGATATTATAGGTTGGATCTTCTTTCATTCTCCTTAAATCTACAAAACCAAGTAAGACAAACTTAACTCCTTTATTTGACAATGGTATGGGAGACCCATTTCATGGGAATAACAACAACTAAGATTCTTACCTTCATCATCAACTTTCAGACTATTCTTAACATGATCAAAATCTGAAAGAACCTTGCTGTCAAGTGTATTAGGATTCTAAAATGACACACCAAAACAGTATCAGTTGATCTGCTGTTACATTGGTACCAAGAATGGAAAAAAAAAGCTTCCTTTCAATGGGGTACCTGGATTGTTATCAAATCATCCTTAGTGAAAGGCTCATCTGTGATCAACTCTTTCCAATTTTTTGTTTTGAGGTTCAGTTCTTTTATTGCCTACTTGGACAGCCAAGAAGAGAAATTCAGCTCTGTAATCCAAATTCATACAAGAAAATTTGACAGATAGGATACATAAAATGACACACCTCATGACAGAAAACATTTCCTGTTGTTTTTACAGCAACTATATGTGTAAATTCTGTAAAAACTTTGTTCAAAACTGGACAATGGTATTCCCCTGCATCAACAGAAATGAGTAGCAGATCCCTGGAACAGATATTTTAGAAGTATGGCATAAAATCTGAAAGCAACAATAATAACTCAGCATAGTTTGTGAATTGCGTTTTAGGCATAGAAGGCTTAGGTAATAGAGCCTTGACTCTTTTGTCATGGTACAACCAAGGTTCTTAATTTCGAATGATACCGCCCGTACCAGGCGGTGCGTACCAATCTGCTAGCAGACCGGTACGCGGACCACCCGCTACTAGGGCAGCATCGTCGATTGGGACTGTTTCTGCCTCGTTACCACCCGAAATTAGTCGGTGACGGTTGATTTCGACCGTCGCCACCCTCTATCGGACGGTATTAGCCGAGGGAGAAAGAAGAAGAGGGAGAAGAAAAGGGAGAACCTAGAGATCCGACGCCGCTCTCCCTCGACGATCCCGATCCGTCGTTGCCCTCCCTTGCCGGATGCCGCAGATGAGATGTCGCCTCCTTCTCGTCAGAGGCGACAAGGCCTCGGCATTGTCGGCGACTTCTCCTAATCCGCGCATGGAGAAAAAGCCTCGACATGGGGAGAAGAAACCTCGGCGACATCATCGAGGCTTCGCGGGGAGACTTCGGCGTCGTCGACAACTTCTCCTAATTCACACGGGGAGAAGAAGCCTCGGCATGGGGAGAAGAAACCTTGGCGACATCGCCTGAGGCTTCGAGGTTTTCTTCTTCCCACATAGGGAGAAGAAACAACACGACGTTGCCCCTTTCTGTAATTTTTTAACTTTTATTATATATATATATACATATATACATATATATGCATATATATATATATATACATATATATATACATATATATATATACCGAGCGGTACACTAGAGCATACTGCTCGGTATACTCGTACTGTACCATACCAAGTTGAACTCGATACTCCGGTACGGTATGGAATTATGAACCTTGGGTACAACATAAAAGCAACAGTCTCTCAATTCTGAAGATGTGAAGAAATTAGATTTCCGTGACACAAGTTTGGAAATTGCATCAGAGTTGAACTATAAATACTATAAAAAACATGACCTTGTTGATGTTAGGATGAAATTGTAACTGTGGAACTGATATACCCCATCTTTCTTCTTTGTTCATCATCTCAAAACTCTAGTCTAACATAAGTTCCATTTGTATTGAAGCATATTATATATTACCTAAACATGGATTCTCCGAGGAACCATAAGAAAACAGATTCTCATGTTTTCAGACGTAGTTAGTTTATTTTTCTAAACCCTTTTAGAGGCTATGGTCTGAACATGATTACTATCATCCGAGTTCATCAGATCTTATAACCATATTTTTACGTATTTTCATGTGTGTCATTGAATGAAATACACCCTAGCTATACAGAAAATATTATGACAGTTAAAACCTCAAAGCTTGCACTAAAGTGACAAAGAAACTTAAAGAAATAATCATGCCAGAACCTACCATCAGAATTCTTGTGGAAAGTAAGAGGAACAAGATCTTCTTCTTTGAGAGGAGCTCCAGTAACAGGATGCTTACCATATTTAGTAATATAAGAGACTATATTCCTGTATCCAACATAAAATAAACTTACCTCTTTTTTCCTTTAAAACATCAACAGCACATACAGTAAAAAATTATGATTTTGAAAGGAAATGACTAACATTATGTCGAACACGCTCCCATCGGCTGTGCAAACTGGGTCCTCAAATGGTGTGAAAGTAAGCCTATACATGAACATAAGCACATTAACTGTAACGTAAGAAAATCCCAACTAGAAAAACAAAGTTTGCCCTCAATAATTGGATAGAGAAAATGAAAACTTCAGCGTTGGGGCTTACGAGCAGCAGTAGAAGGGTAATCGCTTGAAGGGCGTAGAGTTGTCTTTGGGCTTGGCACCACCCCACTCAGTAGCCCACTCAGTCTTTGTAATAAACATCCGATCTTTACTGTGTTGCTTCTTCCCCATCTTGTCTTAGCTATTGATACCCACAAACAGACAAGAAATTAGGATGAGAATGAACCACACATTGGAAAAGCCATATTCCCATAATCAAATGTTATCACCACCATTGTTGGAAGGCAAATCCATGAACAAGAATCGGAAGTTAACTATAACCTTTTCTAATTTAAGATACTAAATCAGATTTTTGAATAATCTTTTACTAATGATCATGAAACAAAGATTATAATGATGGTAATAATCCGTGGGGCTGTAGAGGCTGCCAAAAAAATACTACGGTATATACTATTGCATATATTGGACTAGCATCAGCAATCTCAGTGCCCTTCTACTTTATCTTTCATGCACAGGAATCAAACAATTATCTTAATCCACAAGTCTGTCATTTATCACATCCCCAAAATAGATCAGAAGCAAATCAACAAAGTAAATCAATCTAATGATAAAAGTGTACAGGCACAACAGAGTTCAGAAAATCATAAACTAGCAATACGGTGACAATTCACAAAAAATCAAGGAATGTGATGTTGCTCTTTGAAAAGCAAATCATAGAACTAACCAAACAAATTTCATAAAATTTAACAAGATTACTGCAGCATCCAAAAGAATTATTATAAATACAAAAGAAAACAGTCATCAGGGGGACAAAAGAAAAGAGAAAATTGAGCATCAAGAGCATCAATTATTGAAACAAGTAAAACCTTCGCACAGGAATACATCCTTGAACCCTAGCTACATAAACAAGCAAAAAAAAAGAAAAAGGATCCCCGTTAAATGTTGATGTGCACTGAGGATTAAAACACAAAAGGAGTAACTAAGTTAATTTTTGCCTTAGGGAGCTCCGAATCAATCACCATCCACCACATGCGAAAGAAACCCTAGGGAGAGGACGGGGAGCGAGAACCTAAAGGAGGCGCGATGGCGGTGACCGAGGCGGACGTCCTTGCGGGGGCGCCGGAGGCGTGGGGTATTCGTCGGCGTCGACGGTCGATGAGGAGCGGAAGCGGCGATCGCACTGCGGCGGAGAGCGTGCTCGAGGAAGAGGAGAACGAAGACGGTCCACAGCGGTACATAAAACCGCCATGAGGAGTCATGTTATTTACTATTTAGGGACCCGACCACCCTATTGACCTTTTTGCATATTAGCCCCACACATCTTTTTATTTTCACAATAATATTCTTTCCTACCCATTTAGTTCTTTACATCTTTTTATTTTACGATAATCTCCTTTTACATCATATAAAAAGATAAATCAAAATGGAATTATTGGACACAAATAATTGATTTCAATTTTGACATAAGTCAATAGGCATAAGATAAGAAAAGCAAGATAGGCATTCTTACACTACTAATTTCATGTGCATGATTGTGATATTGCATGATGGGTTTTAGCGCACCCAATCATTGCACCATGTTATATTGTGTATAAAGAAGAAATGTTATTGGTTAACTGGGCTGGACTATATTGGGCCGGAATGGGCCCATTTATCCCAATAATAAGTCCGATCTCCAAGTTGTGCGTTCTGTAGTTGATTAGCTGCCGCCAGTCGTCCCGCCGCTTGCGGTTTCCCTCCGCCGTCGGACGCCAGGCTTCGCTGCCGCAGACTCTTGGAACCCTAACCACACGGATGGAAAAGCTCCCATATTTGCGTCCGCCGGAGGGCCAGCAGGCCGATGATTTGATCAAGACCGTCTCTTCCATCCTCCTCGCCGCCCAGAGCCCTTCCGGCCCTCCCCTCGACGAAGCCCTCGCCCCCTTCATCCCCCGCCTCTCCCCTTCCCTCGCCGCGCCCATACTCTCCGCTGCCGCTGCCTCCCCCTCCTTCTCCTCACCCGCCCCGCTCCTCTCCTTCTACCACCTCCTCCGACGCAGCTTCCCTTCCCCCTCCGGCGACCCCTCAATCGCCGCCGAGGAGTTTCTACCCTCCCTCCTCGCTCTCCTCCCTCCCCTTCTTTGGTTCAAGAAGTTCGCTGATGTCAAGTCCCTCCTCCTCTCCTTCATCCCCCTCGACCGCCGCCGCCTCCTTCACCGCCACCTCCTCCACGGCAGCCCGCAGCCGTCAAAGTCCCTCCTTGACACCGCCGTTGCATCCTATGCTGACCTCCGCCAGTACCATCTCGCCTACCAGGTTTTCCTGGTCATGCGCCGCCGTCGCCTCCGCCCCTCCCTGTTTACCTCCAACTCTCTCCTCTCCTCCCTTGTCCGCTCCCCTACAATCTCGTCCTCCCTTCCATTGTCTATCTTCCACGACATGGTCGCCCTCGGCGTCTCCCCCAATGTCAACACCTTCAACATCCTTATTCATGGCCTCTGCTCCCGTGCCCAATTCACCGACGCACTTGCCCTTTTCCCCACGATGGCTGGGTTCGGCTGCACGCCGGATACTATCACCTACAACACCATCCTTGACGGCTATTGCAAGAAGGGCATGCTGAAAGAAGCACGCGACCTGCTTGCTGAAATGAAAGCGAAGGACGTCCCTCCTAATCGGTCCACCTATAACACCCTCGTTGCTGCCTACTGCCGCCTTGGATGGTTGAAGGAGGCCACCATGGCAATCGAGTTAATGACCGCATCAAACTTCCTCCCTGACTTGTGGACCTATAACATGCTTGTTGCTGGGCTGTGCCGTGATGGCCGGATCGACGAAGCTTTCAGGCTAAAGGATGAGATGGAGAAACTTTGCTTGTCCCCTGATGTCATCACGTATAATACACTTATCAACGGGTGCTTCCAGTGGAGGAGTGGATCCGATGCTTATCATGTACTGGGGGAGATGCAACAGAAGGGCGTGAAACCAAATTTGGTCACACATAACATTATGGTTAAAGGATTGTGCAGGGAAGGGAAGATGGAGGAGGCTGTTGCATCACTTAGAAAGATGGAGGAGGAGGGATTGTCACCGGATCTCATCACCTACAATACTTTGATCAGTAGTTACTGTAAAGCATCGGAGATGGGGAAAGCTTTTGACTTGATGGATGAGATGGTGGGGAGAGGTCTCAAGATGGATACTTTTACTCTCAACACTGTTCTTCATAATCTATGTAAAGAGAAGAGGTTTGACGAAGCATGCAAACTGCTCCATAGTCCACCAATGCGGGGTTTTGTGCCTGATGAAATTAGCTACGGTACAGTGATCAGTGCCTACTTTAAGGATGAGAAACTCGATGATGCAATGAAGCTGTTGGAAGAGATGAATGAGAAAAAGATTATGCCGGGTGTCACAACCTATAACACGGTTATTGGTGGACTGTGCAGGTCAGGTAGGACAGAACAAGCAATTAAGATGTTGAATAAGCTGGTGGAGAGTGGACTGGTGCCAGATGAGACTACATACAACACTATCATCAATGGATTTTGTAGGGAGGGTGATTTGGAGAAAGCTTTCCAGTTTCATAATCAGATGGTCAACGATTCGTTCAAGCCGAACGTAATTACTTGTAACATTCTTATGAATGGGCTGTGTAATGATGGTCAGGTGGAGAAGGCTCTCAGATTTTTTGAGTCATGGGTGTCAAAAGGGAAGAAGGTTGATGTCATTACATACAATACCCTAATTAAAGGGCTTTGCAAGGAAGGCAAAGTTGATGCAGCAATGGAACTTTTTGCTGACATGGAGGAGAAGGGACTGCAGTCTGATGCTTATTCTTACAATGTGGTCCTATGTGCACTCTCTGAAGCAGGAAGATCAGAAGAAGCACAGAATACACTGTCAAAGATGGTTGAGAAGGGAATACTGCCAGAACAATTTACATTCCCATTATCATCAGAAGTCTCTTCTATAATGGGGACAGGCAAGGAACAAGAGATGACACCAAATGTATTTAGGGAAGAGGATTCAAAAGGTAGTAGCGACACTAGCTACACACAGCACATTAAGGAGCTCTGCAATAGTGGGAAGTTTAAAGAAGCTAAGCTTGTTTTAGACGAAATGATGCAAACAGGTGTACCTGTCAATAGTTTGACATACATCACGTTGATGGAGGGATTCATAAAGAGGCAAAAAAGACTAACCAAAGCTGCTGTATAAAGATTCTTTGGCACTATGCTTTCTCTATGGTGTTTGCAGTCAGTGGAAAACTGCAGAATATTGTCATGCCTTAGAACATCAACCTGTTTTGTATCGGATAAAAGCTTGAAGATGTGAAAGTTTGAAACAATGATGAATTGTTGAACAAGTTGAGGTATGTGAAACTAAACAGTACAAGATATATATTCCTATAGTCATTAAATGTGTGTTACTTGTTCTGAAATTTGTCTTTTTTATTTTTAAACTGCATTTGTTTGTCACGAATATAATGTTTTTTATTAGCTTCCTAGTTGTGTATTTACAACTTGGTAACATGCCATAGTAAAATAGGAGATTTGTATCATATAACCACTTATATCATCATATAATTTGTAAGTCTGAACCAGCTCAAGTTTTCAGAGGACAATGAGAGTTTGTGCAAGTTTTTGATAGATAATCTCTTTTTCTTTCATTTTTTGGGTGTCAATAAATGAAGATGCTTGAGAGGAAAAGTAATCTTTTCTTGGATCTTTTACTTCATTCACCTATCTAGGTATGGACCTATTGATGCAGCCTAGACTTCAATCGGTTTCAGGTTTGAATGTTAGGTCATCAAATCAGGTTTTCTTTCTTACAAAGGCATGCAAGGCATCTCATTGGAATAGTTCTCTTTGTTGGGACTCACTCGATCGTTTACCACCTCGACTTGTACTCAATGATGGTCACAGTGAAGCAAGAGGGTGATGGCACAACCATAGGGCAATTCTGTCCTTCGCTGCTGCATGGAGACTGATACATCAGGAAGGTGCTACCATCCTTTTCGTTTTGCATATCTGCATAGATGTATCTTTTTGTATGACTGAGGTTTTTTAATTGATTGAGGACAGTTCAAATTTGCTTACTGGATGATTAATGCGAGTTTTTCATGTTGTTTATTCATCCGGTTGATGTTTTCCACTTGGTGAGTGCTCCATTGATCCTTTGTGAATGGTTGTAGGGATAGGCAGTATTATCCATGGTTGTATTTTTTTGATCTGCAGCCATAAGAATTTGAATTGGAAGATACATCTTTTTGTGAGGTTTTTGCATCAAAATCTTCCACTGTGTGTTTCCATTTTTTGATATATATGCTTTAACTGTTCATGATCTTAGAAACTATTTTGTTCTGCCTACTACTTCTGGTATGTGATAGACACTTGTATCAGTTCTGTCTAGATTACTGTGCTAGTCCAAAAATCATTTGCAGAGCAACAAAATGTGTAACAGGAATCTCATCCTTCAATGATTGATTTTTATATATTAGTCCTTGAATGAAAGCTTTAGCAGAAAGATCTTGAAATAATATTGGAATTACATAATCCTTCTTTGGCACAGAATTTGCTCACACAGTTCTTGTTCAAGCTTGTAGTTAATGATGATCAACTATCAATCAAACTGGTTTTTTATTGCACTGATTTTGGTCTTTCCAATGGCTCCGACAGAATTCCATCCAACCGTTCTACCAATCTAAGAGAAGCTCACCTCTTAATAGAACTTGGCGGATCCAGAAGATTGGGCAGTCAGGATTGGGCTTGATCTGCTCTGGCATGGATGAAGTCATTGGATGCCTTGAAGGCCACTGCAACGATGTTATGTGAATTATGTCATTGGATGTTATGTCATTGGATGCCTTGGATGCCTTCATTATCCTGCGACTTAGCTGAAACAAAACATGAATATTAATTGGCAGAGGAAACTGCAAATGATGGCAGCAGACAAATGTTGCATCAGTATGATAATACTTGAGAAAGTTTTTACCATTCAAGCTGCAAATAAACCTCACAAGAGGAAGAGTTTGAGGCTCTGCCAGAGTGGATAGAATCTCCGAATTATGACATAATTATTTTGTATGACAGTAATACCAGAATTCTTTGACCCATTGTTATGTGCCATGATATTTGAAGTTATTCTTGTCAGCTGTCGATTATGATGTGATTATTTTATATGACAGTGATAGTAGAAATCTTTGGGCCATCATGATATATGAATTATTATACTTGTCCGTAACCATCGATGATCCTATGTTTGTGAGATGTGATTGTGCCCAGCCATGGTGATGCCAATTCTAAAATCTGTCTAAATTTGAAGTGTGAAAATTTTCCTTTATTATTAGAATCTGTTCATGTCTGGATGTCTAGAAATAGTTTCCAATCTAACTTCTTGTTGACTACGACTGCAACACTGTTTTTTTGCTGTCTGTAACTTTGCCACTAACAAACCAAAAAGAAGGAAAGGACTTGCTTTCCTTCTCGGATCGTTATCCGTTTGGTTCATCCTCATATGTCGATCGATGGTTCGAAATCGCATTGTCTGATCCGTCCAAATAATTTCCGTAAGTAAAATAAGATAAAAAAAAAGCAGACATTTTCGTTTTTCCTTCCATTAAACTAAGTTAAATCAACACAAACAGAAACCACAAAAACACAGAGAAATTATGCTCTCAGTATTCAGTATCAATCCAAGGAGCGATTCCTCCGGTGTCCTGGCCGCGCCTTCTTCACCACCAACGCCATCCCGCCGCCGCTCTGGCCGAGGCTCGAGCCATTGCTCTCCTTGACCCTATCAGACTTCCTGAACATGTTCTTGAAACCACACACCAGCATCCGACCCAAACCTCCCCCGCTCCTCGCCGGTTGCCTGTCGCACGACGCCTCCGCCACCGCTGGCTCTTCCTCCAGCTCGCTGCCTCGAGGCCGAACGACGCGGAAGCTCGCCGACTTCAAGGAGTCCATCTCCGGCTGCTTCTCCTCCGACCACCTCAGCCGCTGCCTCAGCCCGGCCAGGTCCCGCTCTAGGTTCTCGATCCGGAGGCTGGTGGCCTCCATGGCGGTGCGGATGTGGGCCGACTGCCGCCGGGTCGCGTCGCGCTGGAGGATGGCGCCCAGCGTCAGCTGCCCGTCGCCGTGGCTTCTGCTGGTGCAGATGGTGGTGGTGGTGCTCCAGAGGTGGTTGTGTTGCTTGATTGGCGCTGGACCGGCGGGGGATGGGGTGGCGCGGTCCAAGATGCAGCTGCGGGTGTGGAGCTGCTCGATGAGCATGGCCTGGACGACGAAGCGGAGGGGGAGGCGGGGGTTTTGGACGAGGTGGACGAGGATGTCGTGGGAGAGCTTGGCGCAGTTGACGTTGCAGCAGATCCGGCTCGTCTCCTCCTCCGTCAGCTTCCCCTCATGGTTCTGCGCAGTAGTGATAGCACGCACACGTAACTGTCAACTGTCATCCGACTCAAATCAACTGTCACAGCTGCACTCTACTAAAATAAAAAAGACAATTTATTTTTTTATCTTTCTTTTTTCATTTTGTTTATTTATTTTTTCTGCAGCAGCTATCTATCAGATAATATAGAGTTGGAAATAATGAAATAATATTTTCTAAATAAGAAAATAAAAACATTCCACTCTCAAAAATCCTAAAACCAATAAAAAAACTCCTAAAATATTTAAATATATATAATTAATAATATGAATTACTTCAAGACATCAACTCTCTCTCTCTCTCTCTTTGAAATTTACATCCATATCCTTCACTGATTTTTTGCTTATTTTCCTTTTAAATTTAGGCTTAGCATATATATAGTAATAAAGTATCACACCTCACCCTTCCAAGTGAGTACAAACCTGGCAATAGTACACGTGGTATGGGCCCACTGACACCTAACATATGCCAATCATTTATTATGGAGCAAATAGAACATGGAATACACAATGATCTAAGCCATGATAGAGTGGCAACTGTAATCAACTGCTTGTAGGTGTTCACATAAATTTCAGAGTACCAACAGTACAAATCTCCTCCTACCACTCTGACCAATGTCGAGTAATTGACTCCTCAACATTGGCAACATCTTCTTTGTCACTAAATTAATTTTGTGCATGACATTTGCCTTAGTCATAATCAATAGCATTCAATTTTGTTTTTATTCTTCCTTGTAAATTTCAGTGTCACAAGTATTAATCTACATTTCAGTGTTCGAATTCCTTAATCGTTTGATAGATAATAGACTACAATAACAAAAATGAAAGATGATCAAATATAATTATTATAATATTCATGTTTTATTTGAATATATTACGATAAATAATATATGGAAAAACTCACATGGAGGTAGTAATCGACTACTCTGTAGAGGAGGTCGTGGTCGTCAGCGAAGCGCGCCCGCATCGCCGTGGCGATACGCCCGAGCTCCTCCGCCGACAGCGCCGCCATGTCGTCCAACCACTCCTCGTCGCCCGACGCCGCGAGGACCTCAACGCAGCCAGCTGCCACTCCCGCCGCCGCCGCGGCCTCGGCGTCCGGGCCCCCGAGGAGCCCCGCGCAGGAGCGGAGCACCTCCGCCGCGATTCCCGCGTCCGCCGCGACCTCCCGGAAGAAGTACCCCTCCGCCCGCCGGACGAGCCCCGAGTCGGCCCCCATCTCCAGCCACTCCGCTGCCGCCCGGAGGGGCGCGAGGTTGGACGGCGTCAGGGCGACGTCGCCGCCGTAGCAGAAGCGGGCCACCTCCTCGAACGTCGCCGCCGTCATGCTTGACGGCGGCGACACAGTGACGTCGGAGTTCTCCGTTAAGTAACGCTTCAAGTAACCGCTGTTCGTTACCAGCGGATGCTGCGTCATTGATATCACAGCTATTAGTAACGCTCGGCATAACGGTTTCGGTCTCCTAATTATAAAAGACAAAAAACGATAATAAAACTCAAAAAAAAATTGGCACACTAAATGAAAAATGGAGCCATTTAATAGTCGTCCAATAAATGCGAAAAGGGAAACTGTTGATGGCACTAAATGACAAGGACCGTTGGATCAAGATCCGATGGTGGGTGGATCGACGGCGGAGGTCATCATTTGCCGAGAAGTTCATAAAAATATAAATAATAAAACGTTTTGGTTTAATTTTGTGAAGAATATTAAGATAAAAAAATACGGGAGAAAAGAAGGGGGAAATTTTTACCCTGTGAAGATGGAAGCATTGATCGTGCACACGAACCACAACGTCGGCCTTCGATCCCGTTGCTTCGGTCCTTGGAAACATCAAAGAGAAGTGTGCTTGGATTATGACCGGCAAACAAATCAGTGGGAGGTTTCGGGAGGAGGAGAAGAAGGTTTGCTCACCATTTCTCCACCCAGCTCTGTAGAGAGAGGGGTGATGCCAAAAAATAACGAGGAGGGGGAGGCGGAGATGGAGAGTGGATGACGGATGGAACGAGGGAGGAGCTGAAGCTTTCATCTTCTGCCTCCTCCTCTTCTTCTTCTTCTTCTTGGTCATCTTCATAGATGGTGTCCACCACACCCAGCTCTTGCCACCCTCTCATCTCTCTCTCTCGCCACTGTGTTGTCCCTGCAAACGAATTAGGGTTTCTTCAAGGGATGGATGTTAAATAGGGAGGGGCATTGAATGCATGCATGTGGAGGATCATAAATGGGGGTCCGATGCCATCTCCCGCTCTCGCCGTAGCTGTAACATCGACGGACTCTCGAATCATATTGCAATCAACATATGCAGCGGATCGTATTTTCTATTAAATCATATATATATATATATATATATATATATATATATATATATATATATATATATATATATATATATATATATATATATATATGAATTTTCTATTGGCCTCTGTAAATTTAAGATAAAACATATAATTATAAAAAAAACTCAAAAAATATGCTATTAGTGGAATAAACATCTTTTACTTGGCTAAGCATGAAGACATTAAAATGCATTTTAATTTATCCACCTAAATTAACTATCAAAAATCACGATCCACAATAATTTATGATGTAACGAGAGTGAGATATATAAGAGGATCTTGATAGAACATTTGGAGGGAATATACTTGCTATATTAAATGTGTAGAAGAACCTTTAGATAGAATCGGGTTCAACTCTTAACCTTTTGCAATTAATTGCTTCAACTTTGATACACACAGTTACAATTCCGATACTTATTTCCATTAAATTCTATTAAATGATGTGGGTTGAACCGCAGATTGTACTCCCAACACAAGTGCTGCATTTAGTGAATATATATATATCCAAATTAGTGAATTGGTAGAAAATATAATCATAATTTTAAATGTAAATTAATGTTCACGATTAGTTAATAGTATGCTGCATTTGAGTATTTATGTGGAGGGATTGATCTTAATACGGATGGGGCTTTTAATGCGGAGCTTAAGATGCAGGTTCCTTAATGATACGAGCAGGTGATACGAAGAACCTATGCTAATCAAGGAAAGAGTGGTGGCATTGGTGGAAGGTGGAGATAGATAGATACAGATGTTAAATCCCTCCTTAAAATTGCATCCAAAATATTTTTCATTAATTTACTATTAAAATCTCACACAAGGAAAATATATATGTTCGAATTTTGTTTTCGTCATTTATTCTTTCAAAAAAATTTTTAATCGAGTGAGATATCTCTTTCAAAACCTTCAAAAGATAAAATTGCATGTATGTGTCGCTTGAAGTTGATATTTATCTTTCTAAATATAATTATATATATGGCATATATGATGTTTACGTCGAAGTGGATGTGTACCGTATAACTAAGAAACACAAAGATAAATATATGCTATAAATGCTGTAATTAGAAATGGTGAAAGAATTAGTACTACCGGTATAAAAAGAGTTTACTATAAATTATAAATAAAAATAAAAAGTATATTTGAATTAAGTAAAAATGTTGAAATTCATGTAACGATCTCAAATATTTGGATATTATGCCTTGTTGATGATGCTATATAGGTGTTAGTGTGATTTAACTCCATCAATAATCTTGATCTCAAGAGGCCACCTAAAACACTATCGATCTTACCGATGTGATCTTACGAACGATATGACAAATACATAAGATAGGATAATGGAAATCAGGTTTAGAAATATTCTGGTAGAATGATATAAGGCTATGGTTATGCTTGTCGATGTGACAGATGAATCAATATGATTATTGTTTTTATTCAAATCTAAAATGTTTGATCCGTTTTCCATCTTCATTATTTATATTTTGGTACGATTAGTGAAGACATTGATTTCTAAAAATAATCTCCTAGAAAATTAACATATTTTCCATGTTAAAAATATGATTTCTAGAATACTGAAATAATAAATGATTGTACTTAATACAAAAGAAAGATAAAAGACAAAGACCTTTTTAATTTCTAACGTTTTCAAATTTTAGAGACCAATTAATTGGTGACTTTTTTTTACCTAAAATATATTTTTTTAAATCCTTCATAAATCTTGATGGTTCTCCGTTATTCTTCGTTGATTGCATGATAATGTTTATGCCTAAAAACATGTATATTTTTTTACTCATAATTAATAATATCAACGTCATACAACTAATGCCGACTTAAAAGAATATAAGTAACATCATTTGAATGTTACTTTGAATAAGGTCAAACTTGACTCTATGAGACTATGTTGCTATCCTCACTAATAACCAATTTACTAATAATCAAGGTTAAGATATTTGTCCTCCTTCATTCATTACAATCAATAACAGGATAAAATTATAGTCATGATTAAATTACTTTACTAATCACTATACTATGAAATCTATTTATTTTATTATTATTTTATTTAACCGATATAATTTTGTGACACCTCATCTTATATGGATGTTATCCTGTCATGAATTTATTTTTCGTGCCCGTTCCTCTCCTCGTTTCTAGCATTAAAGAAAGATAAAAAAAAAGCCCAACATTTTCCTCTCTTTAGATTCATAAACAGAAAAGAAAACAGACTCTGATGTTACAAATGATTAAACCAGTTCTTGATTAAGACTGTCATTACAGCTCTACAAAATTTTCCTTTTTTTTAAGCTGATGTTCTTGTTTGTGGGATAAAAATCATTTCCTAATGGCCTAAGATCAGTAACACATGCACATGCAGGCACCACATTCCTTCACACTTTAGTTGGGAAAATAGACGAAGCATGACTATGATAACAATAATATTAAAATCCCAACACCAATGCGGGATTTGACTTGACGGAGTTCTTCGCAGATCCAAATGAATATTCAGCCATATATGATGAATATTATTTATTGGTAAAATTAAGTTTCAAAAGAACTTGGAGATCTTCCAATCACAACGAAAAATGAAATGGTGATGATGATGGAAGAAAAATAAAGGTAATGGCTCCGATGAATACACATTCCGGCCAATATTGTATGGGATAGAAAGAATCATACCTCGGATTTTGAGGTTGTTCGGAAAGGGGGAGACCTCAATCTTGCCACGTTCGGCGATGAGATGAATCGGCGGAGAGGAGGGCACCACCTCCTTCCCTCAGGCTCCGTGACTGGCCGACGCGGTGATCCGGGGAGCCACAGAGGCATTCGATCGCCGACGCTGGGATCTCTGACCGGCTGCGACGATCGCCACGGCTGTAGCCGCTGGAGAAGCCTCCGACGAGTTCCGGAAGCGGCGGCGCTGCGCCCTCCTCTTGCTCCGGAAGGTGCTGCGTGCGGAGGCGGCGGTAGGAGTTCCGGCCTCGCCGCCCTCTGATCGCGTGGATTACAAACGGTATGACACCCTCCATTCGCACCCCCTCTCCCTCTCTCCTCTTCTTTGCCTCTCTCTTTAACGAAAATTGTAGCCGTGATATCTCGCTGTCACCGTCAAGTACAGGAATAAAACGACACATAACGCCTGTGACGACGCGTGATTCGGTACGCGAGCGTGAAGACATCTATTTATATTTGAGCGTACGATGATGAAGTTTCTGGAAGGGACAGAATTGATATCTTTTTATTTTTGTCAGTATATATGAAATTTCCCATCTGGATTGGTTTAGGACCTTACAACGAAAAACGATCCATTTGTTGAATTTAAGTATCCAATGCCAATTAATGGCTGCTAAAGGGAGAAAAGGGAGGCTACTATTAGTTCAACAATGTGTGATTGGTATCACATGCACAATGGATTAATGTGGTTGTCTCTGTTCACTTCTAATAGCCAAAGATCTTTCGGCACCTAATCATGCCTCGCCAACTATCAACACATTGTGGGACTCGCAGCTTGGAGCAACACCACAGCAGCTCACTCCAGTATCCTGTTACAACCCTAGGCATTTGCCAAACCACAAAGACAACAATGTAATTCCATGTAAGGAACACCTTACATCCGCCAAAACACAAACAAGACATTCTACGGCATTTTTCTCTGATCCATCAGTAATTCCTCTAGGGCTACTGCGATCTCACGAAACAATCTTACAAAGTCCACAAGCCTTTCGGTAGATAGGTGACGAAGTTTGCCAGCGATACAACTAGCACTTCAAGGGCATCCATGTTGTCCGATGAGCTCATTAGATCAACCTATCGACTGAGATCCACAATTGAGGCTGGCATATGCTCAAGACGCATCTCCTGAGGACCATGAATGAACCTCCTAAGAAATATCTACTACTATGATAAGTGTGGATGAGTTTGGATTGTGATGCCAGAAGTACTTCTAGAAGTCAAAAGATAATCTAAAAGTTGAGAAGTTGGAACTAAGAGCTTAATTAATACCAGGAGGTAATTTGATAATTTAAGTAGAAAGGATCGACAGGATCGACCAGGAACAAATGAGGAACACTTCACACAACCTTGAGAATCCTCGTCATGCTGCTTAGAAGAAAAGTCAGCCGGAGATGAACATATGCATCCACAATAATCTGCCATTTTACTAGCTAGCTGATCAATAAATAACCTTATCTTTTACTCTTCGAACAAAATACTAATTAAAGAATTAATTCACCGTTCATGAAATACTTTTTGGCAGGAAATCAGACACAAATATAATATCATTAGATAAAAACATTAGCTACAATTTATCTTAAAATATATAGTCAGATGCAAAAAGAGGCCTTCTATCCTTCCAGTTGCCAAGAAGTCCTTGCCTTCCCATGAAAACAAAAGGGAAAGCTCTCGACAATCCATTACTACCCTTACCACCCTTGTAGGAAAAGGTAAGTTCAATAGTAAAATGGTGAATATCAAAAAATTATGGTCAGATGCAAAAGGATGCCTCTTATTTCACCTACATAAGCTTAAAAAATCCTATACTTAGGAAGAGCAGAACTAATTATTCAGATGCAAAGGCAAAATTAATGTCCACCTAAACACTGAAGCTTGAACATTCCAAGTACTCTTGTAGTGAGAATCTAAAGTTTTTCTCATTGAAGACCAAATGCCCATTGCAGATAATCAAATACTTCTGGAAAAGTGAACTATTTCAAGTAGTCAAGAACAAAGCAAAAGAATAGCCTCATCTTGCTTGACTCTCTAAACTTCCAGAACAAAACTTACCAAGAAGCAAAGACATCTGGCTCAGTTCCTTGGAAATAACCATCACATACCAAACAGAACCAAAAATTCACTCTTGATTGACTTGCCTAAAGTACCATGATTCAACAATAGAAGATGTGACAGAGGTAACCTTCAGATTAACATCTGAAGGAAAAAACAGAGCAGTCTGAGCCATGAAAGGAAATAGGGAAATAGAAAAGTGGATAAAATGGATGACAGTCTTATGTCTTATGGTGACAGAAACATAAGATATGCAGGATTGTATCTAAATGAAGTGAGTGCTATGACAAGGAATCAAAGAGAATTTTGTCGTCCACTACATGAACAGATTAGCTACTTAAAATCTTGAGAAGGATTGCTGTTTCATGAAATAGGGTCATGTCAGCATCATTCCTGCATGTGCATGATTATATGCCCCGGTCAGCGTTAGTCAAAAATTAGCCTAACACCACAGATTGGCATTGGTTCCTCTTTGGCAACGATTTAAATAATGATTCAATACCAATTTTGCTCCCCTGTCAGATTGGTGCATTACTGATATAGCAAATGGTACACTAACCTGTACTATCCGGTATCATTAAATAAAAAATAAAAGACAAAAATGTATTTATACCGGTGTCAAGCTGTATGCTTGATATTGGTATTTGACCGGACTGATTAAATGCTGGTCAGAATGAAGAGGTCCAATCAATATTTAAATCCTTGCTCTTTGGTACCAAACAATTTGATCCGTTCCGATATATGTCGAACAGCACAGCAATCCTTGGCATTGGCAATAAATTAGAAAATCAAAATCCCACAAAAAATTTTCGCCAAGCTACTCATTCTTCAACTTCAAATAGGGCTCAAAAATTGAAAATGCTTTAAGTGCTTAAACAAACTGTACAAATAAACATGAAGTTTCTGATGCTCTCTAAATGATAAAATAACAATGATCTCATCCTGCTGGCTCAAGTTTAATCAAGGAAAATGCAACCAAATTTGCCAAAGCACCATAACGAAAAAGGTGTTAAGTTCACTACTTTAGCCAACTAGCATCTAAAAAACAATATACTCATGCTACCTGTAAGAAAACACATATTCCTTAATAGAATATACTACTAAAATAATCACCACCAAGTTCAATTCTTACCATTTCTGTACCAAGGACCAATATTTTCAGGATGCAAATAATAAATGCAATAAGTACATTTTCTTTAAGTTATCTGAACTACATATATCTTTGATGGAAACTAAATCAACATAAACCATGCAACTTCCATATATCTCCTTTAGGTGAAGTACAAAAGGCATCCATTTAAGTGAAGTGTTCCAACAGTCCTTATTAAATCATTAAAAAGTATAACATTGTAACAATGGACATGGTTTTGATGCCAATATTATAAAAATCACCAACCAGCAGGCAGCCCTTGTGCATTTAACTGCTTGTGAAAACAGTGGGACAGGCTAATGGAAATTGTTTCAACATGAAAACCAAAGAGAATGTTACAATATGCTTTCAATTCCAAGGGTGGTTTCATTTCATGCCATGGAATGTTCAAACTACGAAGTATTAAATAGAATGCCAGATCTAAATTGTTTAATAGATGGAGAAATCAAGTTACTGGTCAGACTACTGAATGATATTTTAATCCATAGCGAAGTGCAAATAGCATAACAGGAATCTTACTAGGATTAAATAATCTTCAAATATTCATATTCTTCAAAATATCAACCAAATCAATAGTCAAGTTGAATAATCCAAAACCAACACAATTAATGATATCCTTCCTTACCAGACTAACTCACCGCTCTCCTATGAACTTTACCGATTTTCATAATCTGTTTACTCTCAAGGACAACAACAACAACAAGGCCATAAGTCCCAACTAGTTAGGGTTGGCTACATGGATCTTTTGCTACCATTGAGATATATAAAAAGCTATATGTTTAGTTAAGTTAAGAATACTTCAATATTTATTTATAGTTTTTATTAAGATTTTTTTAGGTCTTCCTCTACCTTTCATGGTGGTAAATATATTTACACATATAACATATTGGGAAATCTGGTAATCTTTAAGACATCAAATAAGCACTTAAACAGTTTAAAAACATTGCTCCAGTATAATGAGTTATATAATGACTATTTCTTAATTTTCTTTCCAAATAAGTGAATTATTACTCATCATGGACTCTATGGACACCACAACGCGATAAGAGTAGGTTAATACAGTTAAATAAATAGTACAAATGGCGAATGCCAGCCAGAACAGGTACTGCTTTTAAAATAAATGCAAAAACCTACTTCACCACTCTTGATAAGCATTAAATATCTGCAATCAAACTTAGAATACAGTGATTTACTATATCTGTATATCATCCTAGATTCTTAGATAGTCAAATCAAATCTCATAATTCATTAGTGCTAGTTCGATAAAACTTGATCTGAGGACAGGTAAACAACTTATTGAATTGCAGGGAAGTTAGCAGACAACTTGATAAGAAAGTGACATGTCAATATAGCTGCTGTCAAATGTAAAGGTTTCACCTGAAGGGAGACATAGACGATCTTATTGTTTAAAAGGGAAAGAAATGCAAGAGAGAATTACCTTTCAACAGCACAAGCAACTGATCCAGCAATCTCCAATGTAAAGGCTTCCAAAACACCAAAGCAAATATCAGACATGAAAAACTTTGGACTGCATAATAATTAGAAAAAGCATACACAAATTCTTATTAGCCAAAGCAACTCAAGTTGTACAGTCTAAAGCTTATCAGATCTAGATTTAACTTATCCAGGACAATATTATATAACAAGAACTCCTAGAAACAAACAACATTTTAACTTTAAAAAAATCTACAGGGCACAAGTTGAATTACAGCGAAAGAAAAAGGAAGCCTATATCAGTATCATCAAAATCAAAAAGGGAAATGGAGATTAAACTTAGAAGACAAATGCAAATCATAGGTCTAAAGTGAAGGTTGCTTTCTCCCTTCTAAGGGTTTCCCTGAAGCCTAAGGTGCAAAAGACACTCTTTTGCAAACAGAAAATATCTACTGCCACTTTTCTTTTAACACGCTAAGTTGACCATCAAACAAACTATGGTACCTTCTTTTGTTGCCTTTAGCATATAAAACATTGCAGATACCCACATAGCACTGGCAAAACCCTGAATGAAAGACAGAATTAGAATCTCCAAAGCCCAAAAGCGTTCTGATATGTAAAGAAATTTTCATGATGTGAACTATCACATATAGTATATTAGAACATTCAGGCCAACCAACCCATCAATTTGAACAGGCACATCATTCTTATATGCCAGAGAGCTGACCAATAACATTTTCAAGTTTGACAGTTTAAGTTTGAAATCATGAAGGAGCACATTCAGTTGGATCATCTTTACCCTTAGGTACACAAACTGCAGATATTTTCAAGCTCACAAGAAATACATTCAAAGATTATCACCCATTCTCCAATTGAATACCGCTGAGGAAAAAAGAAAGAATATCAAACAGCAGCTACTATAAACAAATAATTAATTTCTATATATCCTGAAAAGGCCATGATCAAGAATAATTTACAAAAGAAAAAATGCCTTTGGCAAGTTATCTTACAAGAAACAGACATCACACTGATAAGGACCCCCACATAGGAAGGCTAAACCAATGATCTCTTCAACTCCTCGTCGACACAATCCATGAATCTCCACCCAAGCAGTGAAAAGATGGATAAATGTAGAAGAATTAGATGGATGAAAATGAATTTAGTTTACAAGGTAGATGCATAGTTGAACAGCATTGTTAGAGTCAGAAAATTCAGCATCTTAGTTCACTTGCCCGTGATAAATGGATGACTTAGTGCCTGAGATATTGTCATCCTCTTTTCTGGATCCAATACAAATATTCGGTCTAGAAGATCCTTAAAATTTGATAACATTTTGGAATCTTCGCCAGGAAAGCCTGATATGAGGACACCAATATCCTTTGGTTTAATACTGAGCAGCAGTCTCTTAACAGGCTGTGAGAAAAAAAGAACAAAGAGTTAAAATGCAAGCATCTGAAAATGATGGATTGCATTCCATTTTCCATAATCAGATAAAACAACCAAAACATATAATTTATACCTTCTTTGTAACAGGGTCCTCCTCGGTGGCATGAAAATTTAAGTCTTGATCAAAATGCTGATCCGTGAAGGCACCCTGTATAAAATGAAGTATCAGACGGGATGCAAAATCAAAATATGAACTTACACCATCTATACCCTGCAAAAGAGTAGCACATAACATTTCACAGAAATAACTGGCATTGACATATTGCACACCAGACTTGGGAGTTCAATGCCAGATATCTCTAAGAGGTGTGAACCAAGTAAAAAGAAAACAGAAAATAAAAAGTTGTTAAGAAGTTTCAAGGCCAACAGATTTTTGTGTCACCTTCCGAAGCATCTTTTTGGGGAAAGTACCCTTTAACTCCATGTGAAGTCGAAGCATGTCATTGTTTGAAGGACCAGGAAAAAGTACTTTTCCCGTATAAAGTTCATATAGGCAGCAACCAACTGACCACATATCCATCGGATGATCATATGGCAATCCAAGAACTGCAAACGAAGAAACTCCATTAGTATGTTAGCACTTGGCAGTCAAAATGATCACACCCACCAGCAGAAATACAGAAAATAGGGCCTCAAAACATGCAAGCACTCATCCTAGTGCACATACACAGCATAGGCAGAGCAAATAGGGGCACCAGAAAACAGTATCAAAAGAACCACCTTATGTAGAATTGATGGCGTTGGAACTTACTTATTTCTGGGGCACGGTAAAAGCGGCTAACAAGGTAGGGTGTAATCTCATTCTTACCCGCAAACATAGCGTTACCAAAATCACAAAGCTTTAGAACATTTTTTGCCTCATTAACCTATATATATAATCAGAATAAAAGAATAAGGACACGCATCTGCAAATTTGTCTTTAATAACGCCCAACAGAATAGGAGGAGCAAAACATAAGGGACAAAACATACCAGCATGTTATCTGGCTTGATATCACAGTGCAGAACGCCACAATTCCTCAGATGCTTCAGTGCAATGAAAAGCTGCTTCGCGTAAGCCCTCACAGCAGTCAGCTTAAGCCCAATATTACGACCAAATTTCTTTAGAACCTCACGAAGGTTCATATGAAGAGATTCAAAAACTAAGCAAAGATGATTTCGATACTTGAAAGATGAGAGAAACCTAACACAATGGCGTCTATCCTCAGGATCAGCGCCTGCCAATTTCTTTAAAATAACAAGTTCATCTTGTCCAGCCTTGTACCTATGCCAAGTTGTCAAGCTTAAATCAATGAACACATTTAAAAACTCCAAATAATTCCTCCAACTCAAAATAAGCAATCACCCACTAACATGGTATCGTTGTTGCGTATTATTTTAACAGCTACTTCTTCAGGGTCACCTTTCCCAGCCTTGAGATCCTTTGCACGGACAACCGTTGAAAAAACACCCTTTCCATGGGCTGCAATAACTTCATATCGACTATCAAGCACTTCTCCAAACCTGTAACCTGCAGAAAGAAAGAAGCTTCAAATTACAAAGTATGAAAAGGCAAACACTGCAGTCAATAAGAAAAATCAGAAAAAATAGAGAAAAGGATGATTTGGAAAAAAAGAGAAACTTACTATAATATCCCTCTGCATCATCCCAGTTGTCATAGAGAAAACTTCTATCTATTTGTGGGCCTTCACCTTTTCCCTACACAAAATTCAGATGATAAGCTATGAATGACAACACACAATAAGACAATTTCAGTAACATTAGCTATCAATTCTACCCACCGATGTTGACCACTTTGCAATATGCTTCATATATGAACAAAAAAAAGAACGGAAATGAAAATACTCAAAACTTCATGAAAAGTCCATGTAAAGAAAGTACTAAAAATCAATGAATTACATCAAAGTTTCTTATGAAGAAAGAATGGTCTAGGTTATGGAAGTCATGTGACCGTTTGTCATAAGCATGTGATCAAACCATGAATGCATTAAATCAAGGCCTGCAATACCGAATGATACCGCTCGTACCGGGCGGTATGTACCGGTCCATCAGTAAACCGATACACAGACCGCTCGCTACCGAGCGGTACCGTCTATTGAGGCGTTATTGTCGACGGTGACCAAGGGAGAAGGAGAAGAAAGAAATAGGAAAAAAAGGGAGAACCCGGAGATCGCCGCTCTCCTCCTCGTCTGTCGGTGACTTCTCGTCCGCGTGCAGGAGAAGAGGCATCGATGTCGCAGGGCGAACAAAGGCGAAGATTTTCTTTTCCTTCTCTTCTCGGGCGACGTTGCCTGCAAATTTTTTTTTATCTGTGATGTCGTCTCAGCGACGTCGCCCGAGAAGGGAGGCGACATCGCAATTATTTTTTTTTATCTGCAACGTCGCTTGAGAAGAGAGGCGATGTCGCCCCGCATAGAGGTAAACCGCTCGATAAACCGAACGGTTTACCTATATATATATGTATATATATATATATATGTGTGTGTATATATATATATATATGTGTGTATATATATATATATATGTATATATATATATATACTGAGCGGTATACCGAAATATACCGCTCGGTATACAATTTTGTACCATACCGAATAAGTCTCAAAATTTTGATACAATACAAAATTTCAATCCTTGCATTAAACACACCTCAACCATGCAAACAAAAAGATGTCCACATGCATATAAAGAATTAGCATCCCGCAAAAAACACGATTAAGACAACAATCAGACCAATCTAGGAAATGAAAAGAAAACATGGTTGTCATGTTCTCACAGACTTTTCACAAATCATTCCACTACAGTTGTGAAGATTCATCAACAAGGAAACTTTCAGCAAGAGAACCACTCTGAAAATCAATAAGCAAAACCCACTTGTTACTTACAGTTCCAGTTTGTGCAACCCGAATCCATAAGATATAATACCTTAATGAAGGGATTAAGATGACTTTTTCTCCCGAATAGACTTGACCACCAGACATATAAGCCTCCATTTATCTTCAATCCATAATCCCAAGTCCTACATTTTTTTATGCAAACAACAAACATTGTCTCTACTTTTCCTCCCCTTTGTATAAGAAAATCTAGGACTATAAGGATTATTATAAGATGGGTATTTATACTTTAGTCCACACAGTATTTCATATTTTTTTATTTTCTAACTCTCTCTAACCTTCAAAATATACTTCAGTCTAACATCCTCCGTGTACCTCACAATTGTAATATGTCAAAGTGCAAAACAAAGTTCAAGTTCTCCAGGGACTTATTTATCAATCCTTATGAACACAGAAGCTACCTCATATCCTACTGGTTTTGGCACTCAAAAGATCAGGCTCATTTATAATCCTTCAATATTTTCTTCATCGATGCAGAAATATGAACATCACCAATCCAGCAATCCCCTTTCCAGAAGGAAGGGTTACAACGTTACTTCTGCTAATTCTCATCCTCTAGATGTCAATAATTAAAGAAGAACTTTGGTATGCAATAATTGGATGATCTTATCCATCCAATTATACGAAAAAAATTCCATGAAACACTTCCATTTTTTTATTTTATAACCCACCTTATTTCCTAATTGGTGCAAGTGAACATTATCCTTGAGCCTCCTTCTAGCCATCTCACTTCCAACAAACCCAGTGTATAGCTCAAGTGCTCAACTTCTAAAGTAAAAAAGCCCCAAGAAGACAAGCTAGCTCAGAATCACCAAATATCTTTAACATGTCCAATATCTAAAATCATATGATAAAGATTAAAATACATATATATTCATGTAACTTGTGGTAATGTTTCTCATTACCATAGTTAATGACGTCCATTGAAAATACAATTATCATAGAATCTCCCCTTTTATTTCAAATTAGACAAGTTCTATATAAATACTTGGCCTACATCATAATTGCATGCAAATCAGTAATAGTCCAAAGTCAATTCTCAGCATATATCATTCATCATCTTATAGGTAAGTTTTCAAAATTAATATTCATAGGCAAGCTAATATTTGCATATATATTTACCAAAATCATCTTAGGAACAAGTATCCATTTTTGGTATCTAATCATGGTTACACCTTTCCTCTAAATTGACGAGCGCATAATTTTATTTCTTAGCCATGAACCTAGTATATGAGGCTCCCACAAATACGGGATTAGGAGAGAACAAATATACACATCCTTACTTACCCCAACAAATAGAGAGTTCCTTTCCGTGACTCGATTCATGGTTATCCAGGTAAAAAAAGAGCAACCATACTATTGTACTGAGCTCATCGTCGCATGATTTTATTCCTTAATATGTAATATCTCATTTATTGGAAGAGCTAGTGAAACAACTCATAATGAAGCCAAGCATTTAAAAGTATTGACAGACTATGTCACAATTACTACAAGTTTCAAACTGACAAGAAAATGACTGCAAATTATACTGAACATTTAAAAACATAGAGTCAAAGAACTTTACCATCTTGCACACTCCAACGGGTGATTCCCCAAAGATGTCATCACTAAACATGTCTGCCGATCTCTCACTCTAAAGAGAATAAGAAAGTTAGAATATACATTATGAAACGAGACCAAAGCACTTCAACAGTATGAAAAAAAACAACCTTTGGAGTACCCTCCCCAAGTCCCCCAACATTGTTCATTTTCTTAGTAGTCAAATCTCCCTCTTGCATGGGTGACTTTCCCACTGTAAATGATAAATCAGCATCATATACATCTCCAGAGTGATGTACATTCTCAAGCTCTTCACTAATAACTTTATTATCGGCACTGGTAGCATGAAAGCCATGTGACGTCTCCTTATCCAAAGAAGTTTTCTCAGCAGCTTCATATTATATATAAAAATAACTTTGTCATTCAAAATAGAAATATGGGGAGAAATAATGATCAAGACATGAAAACAAAAGTTATCCTCGACTTCAGATGTTATATGGAAGTTAATGAATTACCATTCTTGTTGCCATCAGATGAGGATTCAACTTGCTGCAGATGCCGTTGTCGATATTTTTCCAAAATAGCTTGCTTCCTCCTCCTGCTCTCTTCTTTGATCTTGTCAATATCTTCTTCATCCTGCTTGGCAAGTTGCTGTTCAATTTTCTCTTGGTAATCTTCTTCTTCCTCCCTAGCATTATCAGACCAATAATGTGAGTAACACAAACAAGCAGATAAAGATAAGATACAATAGCCTTCCACATTGTTCATCCTAAGGTTTTTCAAAGTCATACCTAATCAACTTTTGTTTGTCTTCTTTAGGATTGTCTTTACTAGAACCATCATCCTTAGATCGTGATATGCCCTTGTGATGCTCCACTCCATACTTCGAATGCCTAGATTCCCTATGTCTATCCCTGCTACTTGGTTTGTCTGTTTCCAACTGCGCACCTTGATTTCTACCTTCATGCGCATAAACTTCCTTGTGCCTTGCTCTATTCTTATCTCTATCATCACCATCTCTATCTCTTGCATGCCCACCATCCCTTAACCTTTCCCTTTGTAAAAATTTATCCCTAATATCACTTGGTTCATCTCTTGCTCTGTCATTTACCTCCCGTCTGTTGTACCTGCTATAATCACTACTCCCCTCTCTTTGTTTGTGAACCCCTTTATCCAAGTCCACCTTATCTCTGTCTCTATAACTGCTACTGTTTCTTTCCTTCTCCCTATCTCTTTCCCGACTTCCATGTCTGCCCTCCCCTCTGTTGTATCTGCTATAATTACTACTCCCTCTTTCTCTATGATGCCTTTCATTTGAGTCCACATTATCTCTTTCCCTGACAATGCTGCTGTTTCTTTCCCTGTTCCTCTCACGCTCCCGACTTCCATGCCTGTCACCATTTCTATTGCCACTGCTTTCTCGTTCACTAAGGAAAATTTTATCCTTTGCTTGACTTCCAGCAGCATACCTATCTAAAGCACAGTACCTATCAGAATCACCACGCATGTTTCCATGTGAATCAACTTGATCATTGCCATCAGCTGAAGGTTCTAAAACTTTTTCATAGGATTGCCTCCTTGTATGATCATGGGAGCTGGACCTGCTCCTGTGATAGCCTTCGTCATGTTGCCTGCTGAAAGATGGAGACATTCTGGTGTCTCTGTACCCATCCCGCAAGGTTTTGGGTGATACCGATCTGATCTTATCAGATGCTCTTCTACTGGAATCCCTTGATTCAGGATACTGCTTTGAATCAAGCCTCTCCGAAACACTGCCAGAATCTCTGTCTTCAGGGCCATCCCTTTTCCTGTGCTTTGCTGCAGGAGACCTTTCTCCTGGAGATCTTGATCTTACCCGAATTTTTATATCATTTCTATCCGTGTGCTTGTGCTTAATTTCATTTTGTTCTGATAATTCCAATTGGCATAATATAGTTTCCCCTTGAATTACAGTTTTTTTAACCACATCACTCGGTGATAAATTCTCAGCCTCCCGGATAAAAGTGTCTCCATCTGAAATATCTCCCCTCAGCTTGGCTTGATCCGTGTAGCTTGAGTTCTCACAAGATGGAGCAGGTTCCAACATCTTTGAATCTGTCAATCCATTCTGGTTATGAATGGGCACCTTAAAACTTTTCCCTGATGTAGCAACTTTCGCCCCAGGCATGGTCTGCAATTTTTGCAACAAAGGATAGTAAACACTAGATGGATCTATATCACCATTTGGTACTAAGAAGAAATTGAACACAATCAATCGAACAGAAAGAACATTGGGAGCATATGATTTTTGGATAGAAAAGATGGTCTTCCACCTATTAATTTTCTCAGCTACCGTCCCAATCAAGCAAACATCAACTAACATGGAAAAAGATATAGTAAATCAAGTTGAGGAGGATACATCGCATGTACATATCTCAAGGAGTAAGAACAGCTATTTCCTCGCTAATGATTCAAAAGCAACGAGGGATATCAAAACGGACCAGATCGGAAGAAGCATCGACACCGTCAGACTTGATCTTAAGCCCATGCGCCGGCCCTCCATCGACGCCTGCTCGTTCCTCATCCTCTTCAAGAATCTCCCCCTCCTCTCGCTCGTCATCAACGGTCTTGATGGCGGCAAGGGAAGCGGGCTCCGGATCCGAAGCGGGATCCGCCACCTCAATCCCGTCATCGCTCTCACGGCCATGCCTGCTGCGGTGACGGTGGCGGCGATGGTGGTGCTTGCGCCGCTTCGAGGAGGCCTCCGCCCCATGGTCGTCCGAGGACCGCCGATGCTTGCGGCTCGAGGTGGGCGACGGCAACTCCTCGCTGGCCATGCCGAGGGTCGTCCTGAGTTAGGAGGGCACAGACGGTGACGGCGAAATTAGGGTTAACGTATGGAAGGGGGAGGCGGAAACCGAACGATGATGCTCGGTGTTCCCACGATACCGAGGTATTCGTTTGTTTGTTGTTGTTGAGAGCTCCGTAACGGGCTTTATAGCGGAACGGGATGAGGACGAATCGGGTTGACACTAACTAAAACACGAGATCCGGTTTTGGTAATTAATTTCTTTTAATATTATTTTAGTAGGCTAATATTACTTACTCAGCTTTACCGAGGGACCATCCACATAGGCCTCCACGTGTCCTAAGTGTGGACTTGCACTGAGCAAACGTAGTCGAAGATGGGTGTGTTAAGGTGTCCGAACTGACTCGCTAAGCACATTTGTCTGCGAGAGATCGAGTCACTCTCCTGATGAGATATCGTGTGGAATGATAAATGGATATTGGGTATCTGTTTGTTTTAGATATGGATGGTGTTATGGTAAGTAACTTTTTTAGTCGTAACCTCGGGGTCGACGCGGCTGGTTCAGGGGTCTGAATGGCGGGGATCAGGCGCAGCTCCCCTCGGGCTCTTGTGGTGGACGATCGCGAGGGATCTGGTTGGAAAGTTCCGCGACGCCAGGTAGGGTCAGCTTCGGTCGAGTACCTGCACACAGGTCAAGTCGGCGGCTCGGCCCGACCCCTCCGACGATCCAGTCAGTGATTGAGAGTGGAGTTTTGGTTGAAAATGGTGCCCCCCTCTTCGTTTGGAGCCCCAGGGGTATTTATAGGTGAGTTTGATGTTACCTGATGTACCCTCCTGCCAGAGCAGGGCCGTACCTCTGATGGCGTCCGTCGTCGTCAAGGGCGTTGCGTGGAAGGCCGAGCTGCCGCGGGGTATGACGAGCTTCACTCGACGCCTTCCCCTGCCTCGGTCGGTCGTGCGGGGTCAGATGACGAGGTCGCCTGGGTACGGTGGGCGTGGGTGCCCATTATATTGGTGTTTAATGCTCGCTCCCTGGGACAATGTGTCGTCCAGGGGTGGCTGACGTCGTGGGGTATTACGTCAAATCTGTTTTTACCCCTATCATATGGTATTGTCGATCATAACAAGCATAAGAATACGTTGTGTATAAGAACCAAAAAGATGATTCACCATAAATATCTTTTTTTTTTTTGAAAGTGGTTCGTCACAAGTTAAGTAAAAGCCCAAGTCTCCTTCGGAATGAACACATACCAGAGAAGAAATCAATGGCATAGCTGAAAATATATTCTCCTTGCACGCTTGGCTAATGTGAATATGATATGTCCAACGGGGATCTTTTAATCTCAAAAAAGATACTGTACATATCCCAATAGGCACTTGGACTCGACTGAATTCCTAGTGACAAAATAATAACCATTGAGTTGATTCCAACAACCGAAGCAAACCAAACGAGCCAGCAATTAGGATTTATTCCAAGACTGAAAGAGAGTGAAATGATCCCTAAACGACAATAAAATGCACCGGCGATCCCATTCTATTTTAGATGAACAATTACAGTATGAGCAACAATTCGTGGGCAAACTTGTTGGACTCAGATTTGGTTTGAAAGTTTTCTTTTTCTCTAAATCATCTTAATCACAGCAACACTAGCCTTGAGCTATTTGCAAGCAGCATTAAGGAAACACCCGAATAGCATCTACAGCAAATGATGTCGTAGCTTAAATTTTCATGTGTATACTAAAGAAAAATCAAACAGTTCCTTTTTTTCTTTGTATGCCATCGTAATATCTCTGCTTTTCAACAATCAAGAAAAACAACAAGCAGGCTCATTGACCATGAAAACTGGATCGGCGCGGACTCATTTTATGTACAATGATCTCCCCATCATATCCAAGAAGGCAGCTTTGGTCACGAATTCTGGCTCCGTGTAGGGATGTTGTTGTTGTTGCCTACAGACCCGAACTTCCACTGATTCACCACTACACTATATGCATTAAAATGCATGAGATAGAGTGAGGTTCCCAGCATCCAGGATGGCTTCGTTATGGCCAGGTGTAGTGCTGCTCACAAGATTGATGATCAAGAACACTAAACTTGAAGAGATACAGCAGAGATAGTTTAAAGAAAAAGTTCGACATAAGTTGCATTACCTTTGATAGCTTAATGCTGACATTCTGTATAAGCATGTGAACACAAGGAGATGCAAACCGATGGAGTAAAAGAAGACAAATGTTCGGGCATATCTGTGAATGCAGATCCGTATTTTGTTTTAGATCAATCTCAATTATGAATGAAAAGACAAAGAAGTACATGAACATCTGCCACCAAGAATGGAGGCAGGAATTTATTCAGTTTAAATAATGTATAAAGCTCGAATTATGAGCCAAATCTAAAAATATCACCAGAAGGGAAGACAAAGCAAGTGGTAGACCTGTTAGCATGCATCACTCCCAATCATGGATATGTTTATTCTTCTATAGAATTTTGGTATTTCTTTTGTTGGTAATACCACCGAGTGTATCAACTTCAGAGCGGAATGATGATTGGAATGCCAAGGAAATGTATGATAAGTGGAACTGGACTAAGAAACTTTAGAATATGACAGCAAATACCATCATACTCATTTCTGAGCAGTATATTTGGCTGTGCAATGGTCTGATTTAACTGCAGCATCCTCTTTCCCCAACTTTCTTCTGTTCTTACAAGAAGTTCTTTTGGAACTTCCAGCTGATCAACAAGATTAATCATTTGTTAGGACCTAAGTAGTCGAATATACAGATCTTGTGGCTATCAAAAGTTGGATCGAGTTAAAATTGGATCTTCATATTGATCATTGGAATACAATGCAGTCGAGTTCAGGTAGTTCAATTTGGTTTCAGCTCAACCCATGGCCAACTGTACTCATCTTTCTTTTCATTTTCGTCCATTCTTGTTGCACATATCTCTCAGATGTTTGACAATCAAAATCTAGAAAGTAATAGAATATAAATATACAAGAACTATCATCAACCACTGGATGCAACATAAATCATCATAATATTCTCAACTAAAATTAATGGTTAACAGTGAAAGAGAGCTAAGGATAAGTGCACCAAATAGCATACCAAACATAGCAGATTTTGAAGATAATTTAAATTAGAAAAGAAAGTGGAAGCATACTTGTTGCCAAGCAGAAAACGCCCACTACTAAGTGTAATTTTATCTCTTATTCCAAGCTCCTTGTATCGTTGATCCCTTTCCTGATTTGTGAAAAGGACATTCAGAATACCCAAGACAATTCATTCCAAGCAATGAAAATAACAAAATATACAAGAAAATAAAGCAGTTTCCTAGTTCTACATGAACTTCCACTGTAATATTGATTTTACATCCCTTTGTGAAATTTGTAAATGCAATAATAACATATGATACATATTTCAATTAAAAGAACTAATATACTTCTCATTCTCTGATATACCAGAATAGAAAACATTAAGGAGAGGTCATACTAAGGAAATAACGAAGTGAACAAGGATATTTAGGAATATAATTCTGCTTGGTTAGTGTCAGTAGCAATAGAGTGAATATTAAAGAAAGGCCTTAGTAAATACATATCTATTCTAGGATATATAAATTTTCTGAAACCAGTTTTAGAGTTCTTCAAGGGTTGCAATGAAATATAAAACCTTGAGACTATTGCATGTTACCACTCGGAATTCATCCTGGGAAAGAATAACCGAACCATCAGTTCACCGCTCTACTTTGGTAAGGAAGATATCAATCAAAGAAAAAGATTCAATTGCACAAAATAGGACATTGAGAACATTTAATTAATTCATGATAATTGGTAACATAAGATGGAACGGAATTTAATTAAATTACTTTGCTTTCTATGATCTATCTCAGGTGTTTGCAACCAAAAAGCAGAGAAACAGAGAGATAGAGAAACTTGTAAGACAGAACAATTTACCTTCTTCGAGAAAGCAGCAAAAGGATTTATATCATCCTCATACATCTTCTTGTACTTGGACTCAACATCAGAAGAAAAACCACTTTCAACATCTTCTGCATACTAAAATAAGTAAAAAAGAATGGCAAGGTTACTGCTAGGCTGCTAAACATTAAAAAAAAAAAGAAAAGGGCTCAGGAAAATGTAACCAGAACCTTCTTAGGCCCTCTGGAAGAAAGCTTTTCAAGACTGTAATCTTGGACATAACGAATCTTCCCATAAAGTTTTACATTATCAGCTTTTGTATTTTCTAGTTCTACAGTTAGCATCCCAATCTTCTCCTTCAGTTGCCTCACTTGCTGATATATATGACAGGAATATATAAGAAAAAGTTCAAAAAATAAAGTATAGAGCTTTAACTTATCTGTGGTAAAATTGCATACCTCTTCTGCTTCTCGTAAGCGTGTTCGGAAACGATCACGTTGATTGCATATGACCTTTAGCATTGAACTTTGGTCTTGATCTGAAGCGATAAGCCTATGATCTGCACCCTGAGATGAAATATGGTATGAAGAATAAATTCAAAATACAAACGTGTATACAAGGGAGTGCATAAGCATGATTTCAAGACAACAATTTAGTGAGGTAGTAAAATGGCACTCATCTCAGATAAGAAAAATTTGCAAAACATAACTTGTCACTTGTCAGTACAACCAGATAGGTAAGCTTATTTATTATATCTACAACAACATAAAGGGGTCAATGATCTTAATTATTTGGGGTTGGTAACATGGATTGGAGAAGTTTCTGGAGTGATTCAGATCACAGGCCTGATGTGTGGGTGTGATCCCACCACATCAAGCATGCAAGAGATTTTCGGGAGTGATCCAGTCAACCTAAATAAAATTTCCTTATGATTTAATATCTTAATAAGGTAAAATTAAATGGACATGCGTTGTAATAAAAGTATAAATCTTAACAACTTAAAAAAAACCAATTGGCATGGACCAAACAGAAAGAGAGAGAAGATGCAAGGAGGAGTAGTAGGAGAACAAGAGGAGCGCAGGAGAGGACAGCAGGAGGACTGCTGAGAATTGACAGCTATATAGATAAAAAAATTTTAAAATTTTAAAAAAAGTCTCAAACTGGACCTGGTGAAATTACTTGGTCCAGGTGCCAATTTTTGGTAAGACCAATAATTACTGGTTGGTACATTACCACTCCAATATGCTTTTTGAACCTTGGGTCTTGAGTTCACTCAGTTCAATTAATTAGCTTATGTACTCAAGTAGTAAAAAAGTTAGGCCTTTCTAGATCTCAGCTCAAAGGCCAACAAGTGACTTCAAGTTGAAGCCAGCAGAGGCCCTTACAAACAGCAAGAAAAAGATGGGAAATGGCTAAACTCCGAAACATAATAAACATATTATTTTTAAATCTCAAAAGTTGTCTCAAAATCTGTATTTAGTAGAATAACTGACAGGCCAAATAGTGGCAATAAATAGAAAGAGAACACTTCACATGACTTTCAGCATTTTACTTCTTCAGTTTAATTTGCTTAAATCTTGGAAGACATAAGAAACAAAGCAAACTTGTATTCCATCTGCATATAAACGTCTGAATTGTAAAAATATAAAACAGTAAAACAGTCAGTTTGAAGACAAAGTTAAATGGACTTTGAATTGAAAACTCAAACAAGAGTATCATCTAATACATTTTCAAAAGATTGATCCTTTTTTCCTTTTTGAACATAAAAGGGGCTCTCTCATGGTGGGCAAGGCAAACAACTCCCCAGGAAGCGTTACTTTTATAACTTCCCCAGAAAATAAGCATCAGTAAAATAAATTTAAAAGCAACAGGAAATGAAAAAGAGATTCAACCTAACATGAAAAATTGCAAAGAAGTGACATACAGTTTGAAACAAGTTGCCAAACAGGCATACCATTCTGAAACAAGTGGCCACACATCTTCATTGATTCCTAAACAATTAAAGAATGAAAGGATCTCTAAATTTTAATTCTTTATGCATTAAAAGGCAATCCCTCACAAATGAGGAAAATCAGAAAATATCATATTTGGGTTTTAACATCTTATTATTACTCATTGAAATAAAAGACTAAATATCTATGCAATGCAAAATGGATTTTGAATAAGATGAAAAAATTATTTCCAAATGAGAAAGAAAACCTCTACACAGCACAGGAAAGCATTAATGAAGTGAAGTAAATCTTATTTAAACAAATGATGACAAGCACCTCAGATACTTCACTTGAGCCTATTTCCTGAAGATCCCAATCATTCAGAAGTGAACCTTTCCGTTCAGTGGAATTATAGCCCTGTGACAAATATTACAAAGGAAAAGAATATCATGATAAGTGATAGAATGTTTTGGATCCAATAGCAATGTTTTAGCTAGAATCTAGGCCATAGTAACTTACTAAATGCAAGAATATTTTGGGTCCAATAAAAATTTCTAATAGAAACTAAGTCATCATAACTTACTGAAAGAATGTTTCAAGAACAATAGCTATCTAGCTACAAACCAGGCTGCATTATCACAGGAATTATATTTAAGTTCAATACTTAAACAACCTATAGAAAATACGGATTTGTAACAAAAAGTTCTTACAAGGTATAGAAACAAGAATAGTGTAAGGGAGTCACAACTCATTCCTTCATGAAATTCATAGAGAAATACCTTAAGAATGTCATCTTCCAGTTTTGCAATCAGCTTTTGTTGTTCATCCACCTTTGCAGTTAGTTCTGAAATCTTACCTTCAGCAGCTTCCAGTAGACTAGCTTTCTCTGAAATTTTAACCTTAAAAACAAGGCAAAATTTTTGATAGGAGATAATCATTATTTATAGCAGAAAACACAATGACATGATGGTGATTTCTATTTTCTGTACAAGATTGTGCAAGTGTATGACAAAAGAAACTAACAAGGAGCTCTAATCAAATTCTATTGTGACTTTGTATTTTGACTTATAAAATACTGTAAAACCACACTGTAGGAAATTCAAATACCAATGCTGGTTCAGACCTTTAGTTGTGTTAATTCATGCTCCATTTTTCGATTTTTGTCAAGTAAAAGAGACTCCAGCTTGCTCATTTCTTCACCACTGGTAGCGAGTTCCCAATCTTCAGCCTCAATGGAGTTGTAACCAACAGCCTTAAGAAAGGAAAAGTGGAGATCAACAGTTGATATACCACATATAAGCCAAACAAAAATTGCACCACTGAAATGCAACAGAAGAAGAGCAAAAGGAAAATGGATACCTAGCTTAGTACTAGAAACAAGTAACTGGAAATAGGTATATTTTGAGCATGACTTGACATTGAGCTAATTATAAATAAAACACCAATAATGAAATAGATGAAATTTGAGAACAGGAAAAGGAACATGTCACACTTTATATTAGAGCAAAGATTTTGCATAAGAAATACCTATTTAAATAAGTTACTGACCAACCAACTAATCTTTGTAATATGACCAGAACCACTAGTAGTGTTATTTATAGGTGGTTAAAATAAACTAAAAATCTTGGCTTAGTTTTTGTCAATCAAGGACTGAAATAATGATCATGATTTACATATAGAATCTGATGTAAAATATCACTCAAATAATCATTCTACATGCAGATACATGAAGTGACCATGTCCTAGGTCCTAACCATCATAACTTCTTCCAAGTTCCAACTATTTGGCATCAACCAAGAATTTCCTTCATTAACTGTATCTATTAAGGGCTTCTTAAAAATTAAGGAAAGCTTTAATGTAATGCTTTCTGTCAACTTCATATCACAAAAAAATATTGAAAAGGTCCTACTACAAACATATTGTTAGCTAACATCATAAATTGTGAATAAGGAGGACCTGTAAGTATTACTTATAGTAAACACAACAACAAAGCACAAGAATCCTAATTCATAAAATCTACCTTCTTTTCCTTAAACTAGACTATAACAATTTTCCAAGATTAAATGCAACTTAAGATTCCCAAAAATATGATACGTTTTTGTTACTAGCTTATATAGAACTGAACACTGTTTAAGCATCAACATTAAAAATATATGCTGAAACAATATGGTGAAATACATGACAGTATGTCCTTCCACAAGGTATATCAATTAGAAACATAAGAATTCTAGGGAAAAGATCAACTTGCAGTTAAAAACCTGCAAAATTTTGACTTTTTTATGGAGATCGTCAACTAATTTTGCAGTTGGCCTTTCTTGAAGTTCTTTTCTCATTTCCACAAGAGCAGTATCCTGCAAATAATAAAGAAGAAAGACTTAACACTGCAGGTTATTACAATTTAATAAGAACTTTTTAGGATTTAGTCAATGAATTCTTAACAAAGAATGTGCATCAGCTAAAAGGACATGCAAGTCCAAGTCACTGACCCACTGCAAGTTCAAATCAATGAATTGGGATTTAGTCAATGAATTTTGTCTATGTTCTGTCAGACTATGATACATGAATGATAATCTTCAGCATGTACATGTATTACAAATTAGTACTTCATGTTATACAAATTATAGGCTTAAAAAGTCGAGACAAAAGTACAGAATTATAACCTTCTCATTGAGTAGTGCATTCAACTTTTTAATCTCATTCAAGTGTTGCTCCCTCTCATTTGATAACGTGGTTTCCATATTATGAAGTTCCATATTCAACTCAGAGATTATCTTCTCCTTTACATTCAAGGAACTTTCCAATATACTGCTCACCTCTAGATCACTGCAAGCAAGTACTCTATAAGATCAAGAAAAAGCCAAATAAAAAGTACCTTTTTTTACCTAGAAGAAGAAAAACAACTCAAGAATAAACTACAGGCACACAATATACTTGTTGCCGACTACCTAGTTCTATAAGCAAATGTTGTGAACAATGAAACATGTGGTGTGTAAAAAATGAGAATATTAACATATACTAGTTGTAGAACTTACACTCTGGATGATGCTTGTTCGCTAAGTAACAAAGAGTTCCAACATCTAATTAAGAAAACATTTGCATGTGGGAAAAAAATTATGGCCAAGCATATGAAGCTCCTACCAACATCATAATATGTCTAGTGAGTCAAAGAAACTGATATATAAATGTTTCACAAAATTTAAGAATAAAATATAAAAATAAAAGGTCAACTTGTCATGATTGCAAGAAGGTTAAAAAAGCTAAAACCAAGTCTCCATGAAATAGCATCAAGTAATATAAGGATTAAATTCAATTTCATTATTGTCTCATAAATCCAAAGAACAAAAGAAATAAATAGCATCAAGTTTCCAACTTTTTCTATAAAATTTTAGGTGCTAGCATGGAGACATGCATCACAGGCACTGTCACAGCAAAGCATCCAATTTATCAAAATATTCACTTGAACCACAAAAATGCTGAACTTGTGTCGAGGGATTAACCAACTAGCTGAGAAGACCTAGCATCATTAATTTACAGAGATAATTAGAAATTCAGTGAGATCTTTTCATGGCTTCTGAAAGCTTATCAGCACCGATTACATAGGAAGAGGCAAGGAATCCAGTTTCATCAGATTCACTACGTGTTGGGTATCTACAAGTCTGGGCTTGGGCCGGCATCTACAATTGTCCTAACTTCGGGCGATTCATATGCAATAAAGGGATTAAAACTAGCCCTTTTTATTTTAAAATCCTAAAAAAGAAGAAAAAAACTTAAAACCTTAATACCGAATCCTAACCTGTGCATTCTCTCCCATGCTATTGACCTGCCTTCAGTCCAGCATCTGCCTCCCCAACCCTTGGTAATCTCCTCCTCTTCCTCCTTTGCCACCATCATCTCCTCTTTTTCTCTACTGCCTCCGCTCCTCTCCATTGTCACTGCCATCTCGTCATCTTCTTCTCCATCGCCTCCTCCCTTCCTCTCCTCCCGTGCCACCTCCTCTTCTCCGCTTCCTACTCCTATTCTTCTTCCTCCTCTCCATCTCCTCCTCCCCCTTTCTCTGTACCATACCATGATATGTCCCGGCATATTGTGTGTCAGTATGCTCGACTGGACGGGACAAATATCAGTCCAATCATGGATCGGGATAGGTCTGGTACCCAAAATTGAAAACCTTGGAAAAAGGTGTGATGCTAATATATTTCTTGGACTTCAGATTCACATATGTCAAATGAGCCTCATCTAATCTCGTTAGCTATGCCAGTGTATATGTTGACAACTCCTGGGTGTCCAACACATATATATGTTGGATTGCACCTGGTCTTAATGTAATCATTCCCCAGGAATCATAATCATTATCAGGCAGCGTGATATAAGTTACAAGAAGTCTTAATACAGTCCCAAAAGGATGGAAGGGGAAGGCATTAAACGAAACTATATGGCAATACTAATCCATGTCCAATATCGACGAAGCACCATCGAAGTCCAATATTATGTCATAATCCAACAGAATACTCGGATACTTAGACAACACAGTCAAGTAGCATTACCAGTAAATGGGAGAATAAAGTTCAGAAATCAGACCTTTTCTTATCTCCATTTTCTTCGTCAGTTGACTGCACCTGAGAACGCAGAAGGCCCTGCAGACAAAGATAAATGTAAATAACAATCACATGTAACTTAGCAGGAGAAAGACAATAAACTAATAGAAGAATGTTAACAACATGCCCTCCAAAATGAAAGGTCTTAATATTCAAACCCCAAAAAAGAAAAGAAACAAGTGTGAAATCAAGAGCCAACTCCAAACTAGGTACATTCACAACGTTCTGACAGAGATTCTATAAGGACAAATTCATTGGATATTAGAGCAATTTGTTCATTCAAACAAAAATACATAGACATTCATCATAAATGAACTGAAATCTTGTAAAATTTTCAATATGATTTAGTATTAGATATATAGAGAAATATATTTTTCAACATGGTCTTGCTAAATATAGGATAACACAACTATGTCATGAGAATCATTAGTTAATTTTCCACTAAATTCTAAGATGACATAAAACTCAAATTGATGTGAACATGACTTAGCAATTTCTAAATTTCATGTTGATTCACAAACATGATGAACAGGTCAAGAAGAATATATTTTGAACCATTCAAAACATGAATTTCAAATTATCTTGATCTAGTTTCTAACAGTGAAAAATTAACTTGCATACATAACATGGATGGTATAGTAGTTTCTGATACAAGGATTGCTGTTTTGTCACATGGTGGCAGTAGCATCCAGTCACCTTTCTAGCATGACATACTATTTTGTTAAGACAGAAAACTAGCACCTCTTCAGTGTCCAACAAAAAGAAACTATAATATCAGCAACACTAAAAATGAATTGTCATTTGCCTAAACAGGAATGTGTTTTAGGGACAACAAACCATATCTTCCACAATCTTCAATCCAACCATTAATTGGTTTTATAAGGCTAGAGAATTATATTGCTCAAGGGTGAGCATTGACGACATGGAGTTGCTCCTTTGAAATCTAAGTGGCCCTAACTCAAGACTCAAAAAGTTTCTAAGGCTGCATACATTGGTGAGAAACTCATGCACCTCATGCACTGGGCCATTCTTTTAGGTTAAATCACAGTCTCACCAGAAGAAGATGATCTTTGTTTTGCATAATAGGTTATGCAAGTTTCCACTTTTTGTAAGTACATATTGCCCAAGCTACAGAAACAAGACAGGTAGGATGGCATGACCAACTAAAAAAATTTCCAAAAGCACAAAAAATGAAACAAACAACACCTTTGCTACTTATGCAATAATTCATGATCAAGTGTGAAATTACATAGTCAATTGCCAAATGCACATCTTTTACATAACATAGCATACAAACGGAACCGAGATAAGGATCAAATGTTAACCTTTTCTCTCTCCAGACTAACTAGCCGTGTTTGAGCCCGTTCAACTTCATCCATTAGGAGATTTACCTCAGATTCCTTTGCAGCTCTTTCTTCCTCTGAACTCGAAAACTGAGTTTGATAAGACTACTGGGTTCTTATAAATGATCATACATCTATTTGTATAGTCACTAATCACTATAGTGGCTGAAAAGTTCACCAAGGAAAAAATAATAAAAAACTGAAACATCATAAGCACATTACCTGATTGAGTACGAAGTTCAAACAACTGGCTTTGGGCAATCTCATGCAATTTCTGCATATTGACCACACTTTCCTTGGCTTGCCGTAATTGATCTTGCAACAAAAGTTCCCTGCCACCAAAATAGGATAATGAAACATGCAACAATTAACATTAGTCACATTAAGTTAATGTTTGTTATCAATGTATGTAAGCCTTGAAACTCTGCTGTTTCAAATCTCAAAGAATTATCCTGATAATTTTTCAGCTTTTTGAGCAAAGTACCTTTCTTTGAGGACTTCCAGAGTTTTCTGGTTTTCTTCTGCAAGGCTACGTTGTTTGATTTCGACAATCTCTCTAACTTTTTCTTCCATCTAAAATTCATTGAATTTTTTTTCCAATCAAATACATAAATTGTTAGTTTGTGCTTCAGAAGGACTATGGACTTGGATAAAGCATTGTTAAAAAGGCAACATATTCTAGCCTAAAACAGAAGGCATTTTATTTCATTGAAAAGCAAGCATATAAGTTCCATGGGTATGACACAACAGCTGGATATTCTTGTCTGTGAACCAATAAACAAGGTTCACAGGTTGAGGGATACAGACTGAAACCATAGTAGTTGGCCTTTAGACCAAGAAATTGGCCGAATCAGGTCAGCCTTGGATGATGTTCACCCAGATAGTAGGCCAATCCAATGGTCCATGCTAATACTAGTCACCTGACTTCAGATACCACTCAAAAAGTATCCATACCTTTTAACTATTCAGGATTTCTAATTCATTTCAGAATAATTTTTTTTTCAATAGCAACATCACCAAAAAGTTAGTTTTATGTTTTGTTTCTTCTATTTGAAGTTGAAAAACAGCTCGTTTGCTTCATCCATTAAAATGAACTCCATGAGAAAGGGTTGGAGGAGTGTTTATATGCAGTTCACCTCAGTTTGGTTACAACATTCTGTGTGATACTCCATGCTAAACACAAGAACTTGTCAGAAGTTTGAAAGAACCAAACTCTTCAATCACCTCGTAAGGTTGGTTTTCTTTCTATCTGAAATTCTGTTCTGCTCCATCCATATTATCATATATAGCAAGGAAGGAAACCCAACAACAACAAAAAGCCATGATATCCCAGCTATTTGGGGTCGGCTATATGGATCTTTCTTTCCGATGGGCTCTACAAAGGTAAATTTTCTAGTTAAATAAAAGCATTCAAACTTTTGTTGTTGTTTTATATGAAATACTATTAGCTCTTCCTCTAGCGATCATCAACAGCTAATCCTAATCAACTCTGCTTGTCTAACCATAACATTTGGAAGAAGGCAACATAACTCTACTTTTATTCTTCTGTCGATAAATCATTGACAAAGAATTCTACTATTCTGCTGTGATGGATTATTCTAAGAATACTCACTCAGATACTTGAGCTCATTTATGACGAAAAAGTTGCAAGGAGTATGCACTTATTTTTCCTTGATAAAAGAATAAGGACTAGGAAGCATTGAACTAATTGCTATAATAAGTTGGTCTATCATAATACTTTATCTTATTGAACAGCAAATAGCTATTTCTCCCAAAACGAACAATTTGTTTTTTGTTGTTCATCTATGTTTGTGTCCAAAGTCCAAAGTTTAATTAATTTTTTGAACTCTCCAAAGGCCTGCCTCAGAAAGTTATATGAATGTTGATATCTAAGAGACTTACCAAGTCAGTCGCCTATGACCTTGAGTCACCAAATACAGTTATCGATATTATGGCTTATTAAGCACAAACCAGATAAGCTAAATTCTGAAGCAAGTTTCAACCCTAAATCGGGTCAAATTAGTTAAATTGGCAGATCTTTAATAATCAAGATACAGCCTCAGAATAACTAGAAAGAGAAGGTGAGCTTTCTGATATGTTCGATAGGATCTGCAAATTCTAAGCATACAACAACTTCGGCAGAGGGAACATCAAATATATTCCTTGCATCTTGCATGCAAAAATATAATTCCAAAAAGGGACAAACGTAGAGATTATAAGGAGCCACCATTTCACTTTTCACAATATTGAGTGCACAGTCACTACAAATGCAGCCTCAAAAACAATAGGTATAGATATAAGATTGAAGGGCTCAATATTTTAAGATTACTATTCCATGACATTGAAGATTATAATTAATGACAAGAGATACTTGCACAGTAACACCTTCCAAGGATTCTTATTTGTAACTAACAATCGACAGTTCCTTTGAGCAATTGTACTGCCTCAACTAGCAAAAATGGAATATTACTGTATGTCAGGCACATGGTTTAATGTGTAATGTGACCACAAGATTTCATTTTAGATTTACACAAAAAGAAATCAAGATTTCATTTTTGATTTACACACAAAGAAATCAAAAGATACATAACTACCAAAATTTTAAATTAATTGATTATATGCACCAGTCATGAATGCTCTGGCTTGCTTATGAACAAGAAACTAAATATTTTCCAGCTCTGCAAGTGGAGAAAAAAACAAGATTTCTAGAAAAGAACTGCAAACTGAACTTATATGAAGATAAGAGCCAAAATTCACGTCTCTCATGTCAATAAGGAAAAAGGGGATAAACAAGAAAAAAAAAAAAGCAAAACTAGCATTCTGCTAACCTGTTGTTCTAGTTGGCGATTCCGATCCTCAAGTCTTCTAATTGTAGCTTGCTGATTCCTTAGATGAGTAGCTTCAGATCTGTATTCTTCAAGTTCAAGCTTCATCTTTCGATTTTCAGACTCAAGTTCTGACAGCTTTTCATCTTGCTCCTGATATAGAGCCAACAAAATTAAGGCTGCAATGAATAATTGAATGGTGTAAAACAATCACAATTTCTCAGCTTGTAGATGACATAAAGACGCATGAAGCGAACAATATCACATAACATCCCAACACAAGTTTACACCAGAAGGTGCTATAAAAGGTAATGAACTGTGAGAAACTGATGCTGTTCTAAAAATATGGAGTGCAAAAGCTGCAATTACCATTAAATAATACCCTCAAGTAAAATAGAACAGAACTTACAGCAAAAGAAGCAAGAGCTGGATAAGGATCTGGAGCTTCATAAAGCTTCTGGTATATGTTAAGAAATGCATTTTCACCAAATTTTGCTCTCTTTGTAAGATTGTCGACTTCTTCTTGATAATTCTTGAGTAAGGAGTTAAACAAACTTAGCTTCTCATCTTTAGATGCTTTCTTAAAATCTGCAAAAGGTAAAATGAACATACTTTATATCCATGCCACAGAAAAACATCAGAAGCTAGCGATTCCCAACTTAAAACTTTTGACTGAGATGGATGTCGCAACCAAGGATAGCCATGCTCATAGTGCCAATTCATGCCAGCTGGCATGTCTTGTGCCAACAAAAGTAAACATCATGATTTATGACCACATATATTGCACAACGCAGGTCGAAGCAGACCTTTTCTCTTATATGCATCAAAAAGGTTTTTCATTGCTTACCACCATCGTGGATACACTAGATGCTGATGGTGTTTATTAGTTCACATTACACCGGCACATCATATGCCAACAACAAGTACCCTGCTGGCATGGGTTGTAGTTGCAGAAGGATATCCTTGCGTATTCAGGGAAACATTAAGCACTGGCAAATAGGTAGTTTGGCATAAAACATACCCCGAGTACTCTCTGCAAGCTTCCGCCTGTTCTTTTGACTAACTTCCTGGTTTTCAGCGATTTTTAGCCCTTGTTCATCAAGACCACTTCTTTCCTTTTCTAGATCAAATTCTGTTACAAAACCATGAAACAGATACAAACCTAAATTTTTAGTTTCAAAGATAAATGTACCTGTAATAAACAGACCATCACATCAACAGCAATAGACAAATTAACAATATAGGATTACAGAAATTTATATATCTTAATTGTCAATACAAAAGAAAGATTAGTGTTTTTCAAGTTTGTTTATTTTGCATGCAGTACCAGTACTAACTTGTAACCAAGATGCACCAAGCTAAAGAAAACATCCCATATGACTCCAACATGTCCATACTTTAAGTCTTCAAGGGTAGACCGGAAAACAACTTTGATCATGGGAAACAAAGTGGTAACTCATGGTAAGAACTGATCAGTCCTACTCATCATTTCACATTGAGGGCTATTGAACTGCATGCCAAATGCACAAGGCTCCTGCCAATGCGGGGTCTAGGGACTAGGGAGGGTCAATGGACACAGCTTTACAAAGAGACTGTTTCTGTGACTCAAACCCTAGTCTCCCAGGTCACTATTGAACACTTTCCAAGAATAGTTGACGACAAAGGAGAAGATTGTTAACATATAAAATGGGAGACAAAACCTGAAATTCCAAACGTCCGTGTTGGTAGAAAACATGGGAAGATGACGTGATTTAAGCAATTTCAGCATTTCCAAACGTACTGTGAAATTTTGCATATGATTGAGATATAAAACAACTCAAAAGATAGTAAGATGATCAGAAAATTGAATAAAACAATCTAAGAAATAAGACATTATTTGTTGAGACCTCATGGACTTGTAATGACATTATCTAGTGCACTGATTTAAGCAACAGTCAAGTATTTTATTTGAACTGCCTGAAAGAGGAAGGGGGTTAGCTCCTTGTATCATTGGCTTTCCTACAGACATGAATTTTGAAAAGCTTGAAGGGTGGAGACATTCACCAACATTGTGATTCCCCCACTATTCTTCTGAGTCATGCTGCAACATTGGGCCATTTGAAGCCCAAAGGCCAAATTGATGCTCATTTTAGTGGCAGTTCTGAGCAACATACAAAAAGATATTCCACTGATTCGATGCTCTCTCATGAGGGACAAAAAATATGCTCTACATTAATATGTATATTGTGAGGCATATTGTAATATTATAAGAACCAAGGAACATAATACCGATATTGGTTCCGTTAATGTACAGTACATCTTGAAATGTGTATGGAATCCCACTTCATCACTACTTGAAAGAAAGAACCATGGTTGGGGACAATTTGCATTGGGAAGAAAATAATTTTACTGATACGGTAGGTACAATATTTATTTTCCCCTCCAAACAATTCTAGGCTTTAATACCTATTATTGTGCCAAATTGGGGTTTACTTGTGTTTTGGGTGTTGAACATTGTACAATAGGTAATGCTCTTAATTGCGGAGCATGTTCATGCAACCTGAAAAAACCTTAGAAAACTGAGAATGCAGGCCAAAAAAGGGGAAAAAAACACAAACCAACCATAAGAAACCAGTCACTACCAAGTAGTAGATTTATCCATAGACTACCAAAGCCTAATTATATGTAGAATAGAAGCCATAACAATTCACATGTATCCGTCCCACATTCGAGCTCTATTTGAATTAATATCATTTCAAGGCATTTGGCTGGTAAATATATTAAATATCACTTCCAGGTGACAACCAGGACCTTCTATGCAGTTTTATCTTCACAAAATCTGACAAAATATTACATTGGTTGTCAGCTGCTTAACACGATCCTCCTTTATCTAGGCTTTGGACTGATAGAGAATATGGTACAACAATGAGCATGCTCAGGCAGTGTTACCAATCTAGTTAAGGAGAAACAACATGATACTTTTTTAGTCAACAGATAATGGTTAAAATAGCACATCAATATGGGTTCAAAGTGTTTTTTTCCTTAATGTCTTTGTAGATTGAATGCTGAGGAGAATGCTGAAATTTTTAGGCCCAAACAACATGATTTGACCTTCTTAATAACATACTGTTTTTGAAGATACAAGCAAAGAACACCAACTCATGTGAATTAGAAAGTTTCACACCAATTACAAAACATAGATTTGCATTTCAATTGTAGAATTTAAGTATAATATTTAAGATAAATCTAAATCTTCTTCGTCAGTTTAAATCTGAACAATTCCAACCTAGATCTTATGATAAGCATAGATATCATGTTCGATCAACAAGTTTAAGAAAAAAAGGCTTGAATCATTTAAAAAATAGAATACAAAAGAAGCTCCCTCAAGCTTGGTCTAACTACAAATGACGAATCCCAATCTTGTACTAGCACAAATTACAAAGAAGGTGAAAGCAGAAAGAAAGACTTCAACAATGAACAGGGTTCATCATGAAGCATCAATTCAGTGTATCAAATGATGCAGCAAGCTACATGTATGTTAGGTGCTAGCACGGTACATCTAAGGCATGACAAACACCTTACTTGTTGCCAAAATTGTGGTTAATAATATAATTATCTGAAAAGAGTATATGTTATTGGATGTTAGCTTTCTCGTGGATTGTTGAGCATCCATTGGACGTTTATTTGTCGGGCATCATTTCCCATTCAAGTGAAGGGCATCTATTATATTTCAGCAGAAGTATGTTTATTTGTTGGCCTATCTGATAGATTGACATCAAGAAATAAACACAGAACCCTTGTACAGAAAAATATTTACGGGCAAGAAACATAACTGGACCACAATGACCGTGCTACCTACAAAATCGGCCTTATCTAGAAATAGGGAGAGGGGAATCGAAAGGGTAAACCGAAAGAAGATTCATAGCCTAGCAAATTACCATTTCTCATCGCATCTTGCGGGTCCAATAAGTTGGAATCAAGAACTAAAGAGAAAAACCCTTACGCGATAAAAAAAAAAACATTTAAGGGCAAAAAGACTCAACTAGACCGCAACGTCGGTGCTGCCTACACAAATTGATCTCACACAAGAAATCACACACAAAAAGATGGGCAGAAGGAAACCGGAAAAGGAAATAAGGGGATCGATGAATAAGTACCTCTCCAGAAGCTGCAGACGACGGAGATGGACGACGGCAAGCTGCTCCCTTTGTCTCTCTCGGAACCGGATTGATTTGACTCCATTGATAATGGTGGCGGTGAAGTGAGCGGGATCAGATCTGAGACACGATCGATGTCTTTCTCCGCCTCCTCTCTCTCGCTTGATTAATATACGATGTTTAACGTGGAAGCGCAATAAATACCAGGACAGAACCGGCGATGAGCAGCTGCAGCTCACGTGATATCGAACAGTACCAGATAGACGGCTGTGATTTCACTCAAGAAGCACGTGAATCTCACGTGCTAATGAGTGATCTCCGATTGACGACTGTGATCCCACTCGATCAGATCGGGTGGTCGAGGCAAACTCTCGTTCACAACAGGGCTCGGCACGGGAATTGCACAGGCTTCACACGTGATAGTGAGCGTCATTTGATGGACGGCAGTGATCCAACTTGATCAGATCGGTTGATCGAGGCAGATCGCTTTGGTTACAGGGATATGCACGGCTATCAATGGGCATTCGGTGGGCAGTATCCGATGGACGGCTGTGATTGGGTGGTCGAAGCCGCCCTCGTTTGGAAAAGTGCCGGGAATGTGCCGTCCACGTGACATAGTGGAGAATTTGATGGACGGCTGTGATTTCATGCAACTATTCGTCGGGAACAAGTTATTGGGCTCGACAGAAGGGCCAGGCGAAGGGACATTATCGGGTCGGATCCACCACGGTCTCTAATAGATCCAATAAGTTCATGGGCCCAAGCCGAGGCGCAACCTTTACATTACTTTCCATTTATACCCCTACTTGCATCTATTTAGTACAAATCCCTCCCTCTTCACTCCCTTTATCCGCTCGTTCTTCCCTCCTCGGCCCTCGTCGTCCATTCCACCGTTCCGGGCGCAAATGGCCGCCCTCCTCAGCCTCTCGACCACGACGCCCGCCGCCCCCCACATCCGCTTGCCTGCTTCTCCCTTCAAGGTCTCTCTCTCTCTC